ATGCATTGCAAAAGACCCTTCATGTGGACTTCATCAGACCCACAGCATATATATATATATATATATATAGTATGTATTTATTTATTAGAATTATTATTAAATAATATTTTAATTACAACAATAATTATGTAATATTATTTATAATTAATTATTAGTAATGTTAATATTATTATAAATAATAATAATAATATACGTTTCAGATATTTTTTTAAATATCTTCGAAAATTTGGTCATATTGCATTTGGTCATATTACGAAATAAAATGCATTTTGAATGACATTTTTGTTGACATCAAGAGAAAAACATCAGATCCTCAGCATTCCTCTCAATGCCAAGTGCTCTAAAATGAGCTTCTGACCCGAGAGAGACATCAGCAGTAGTAAACTCTTCTTCTTTCATGCATGTGAACGGGTGGAGTGGTTTAAATATGCTGTCAAACTAATGCTGGACTTTGCTTTGGATGGATTTTGGATCTCCATTACCTCTCACTGTCCATTCACATCAAAACAAGCCAAAAAGAACACGTCAACACACACAAAACTCACTCTAGTTGAACATTTCTGTTGAATAACACAATAATTCTCTTAAGTATAGAAAATACTAGTTACAAATGTAAACCCTGCCCTGCCTGACCCTAATTTACAGCAAGTGGGTGTGGTCTGATGACAGGTGGGCGGAGCTGTAATGACAGAGGCGGCAGCCGTTAATCACCGTACAAGGTGAATGTAAGGTGAAGCTCATAATATGTTCTTTATGTATTTCTGTTCATGTTTTGTAGGGTTTCCCAGGAGACATTGGTGCACCAGGACCCAACGGCCCCCTGGGACCAAAGGTGCATATGTTCTCTGATTAAAATCATGAATGTTTGTTGTTCCAAAATCTAGACAGCTGCTTGCCTAGACGCCTGTATAGCATTGTATTTGTTCCAAAAGGTGGCATCAATCTTATGCTGCCTTCTGAGATAGCTTACTTTTCGATAGTAGACAGCGAGGCCCCTCACTAGAGATGTTTTGTTACTCTTACCCAGTATGTGAGTTTTTTTATATAAAGACACCTGCTTTTCCCAGTGTTCCTCACTGCACAGAATTGTGTGTGTGTGTGTGTGTGTGTGTGCGCGTGTGTGTGTCTAGGGTCTTCAAGGAGCCCGAGGCGCCCAGGGACCACCAGGGCCAAAAGGAACAGAGGTAAAGTGTTCATCTCCAATCTCAAACACAACAGACAGATCTATCTATCTATCTATCTATCTATCTATCTATCTATCTGTCTGTCTGTCTGTCTGTCTGTCTATCTATCTGTCTGTCTGTCTGTCTGTCTGTCACCTCTACAATAGAATAGAGCTGCAGTAGAGTCAGTTCAGTGATGTTCTTCTGCTTTTCTTTCATCGCCTCGTTTCTCTGCAAGCTTGTGGTATGATGTGTACGTTGAAGGAATGTTTTCTTGTCTACGGGCGATGTTCTGTGAAATCTGATTGCTGAATATTTACCAAAACGCTTCCTTGTGTGTTTCTCTAGGGAGACGAAGGCCCCCCGGGTCCACCTGGAAAGCCTGGTCCCACTGTAAGTGTTATTCTTTTTCAAGAATCACCTTGATTAAACTCAGATGAGGAGATGTGATGTAGTAATTTGTTGTACTGAATGTATACAGACAAATGCATTTACAGTCACACCTATATGTGTGTGTTTGTTCATCCATTACAGGGCCGAATTGGTCGGAAAGGATTCATTGGTGAACCAGGACCTGAAGGCCTGAAGGTAAGTGTCTCCTCACCAGCAGAAATTATCCCATCTGTCCAATATACAAAAAACCCAACGGCGATATTATATCCAGTATTTCCCAATGTTTCTGTGTGATTGTTCACATCATTCTCTGATTGGCCAGTATATCAGCCATCCAGGCCAAATGTGAGATTTCTCACAGATGATAAATTAATATTAGGGTTTGGTTTACAGTCATAGATTCTTGATGATTCAAGTGTTTCATTTTGGTGATCTGATTTTGATATTCATTTTTGTCTTTTTTTCTTCCCAGGGAGAAATTGGTGACCCAGGGAATCCTGGGAAACACGGCCCCCCTGTAAGTACAAATATCTATCTATCTATCTATCTGTCTGTCTGTCTGTCTGTCTATCATGTATCTGTCTATCTATCTATCTATCTATCTATCTATATCTATCTATCTATCTATCTGTCTGTCTGTCTGTCTGTCTATCTATCTATCTGTCTGTCTGTGTCTGTCTATCAATCTATCTATCTATCTATCTATCTATCTATCTATTTGTCTGTCTGTCTGCCTGTCTCTCTGTCTATCTATCTGTCTGTCTGTCTGTCTGTCTGTCTATCTGTCTGTCTGTCTGTCTGTCTGTCTGTCTGTCTGTCTATCTGTCTTTCTTTCTGTCTGTCTGTCTGTGTCTGTCTATCTATCATGTATCTATCTATCTATCTATCTATCTGTCTGTCTGTCTGTCTGTCTGTCTGTCTGTCTATCTATCTATCTGTCTATCTATATCTGTCTGTCTGTCTGTCTGTCTGTCTATCATCTATCTATCTATCTATCTATCTATCTGTCTGTCTGTCTGTCTGTCTATCCGTCCATCTGTCCATCCGTGTTTTTTTGTAAACAAATTTGTTACGCTGACTGAACTCTTAGTTACATTGTTTTTTGTTGAATTACTTGCAGTTTTCCATTTCACAGTTGTGAAGTTTCATTGAGCAAACGTGTTTGTTTTCGTGTTGTTTGTTTGTTTATGCTCTTGTAAAATCAGAGATGTGTTGTGAGGATCTAACGCTGTGTGAGAAAACAGTGCTGAGTTAAAAAGAGCCTTTTAATGCGTTTCATGAGAACTTCCTCGCTCTTGTGAACTTCTCCAGAGGGATTTAGGACACACGCAGCGATTGCTCTTGGAAAAACGTTTATCCCGCGGTTTCGCTCCATCTTCCGATGGGAAGACGAGACTGCATTCACGTCTGTGTGAGGAGGATTTGCTTTAGATACGACACAGAAAACATGTGCGCTGTATTTCTGTGTGATGAACTCAAGTCATAATATTTGCATTCTGGTTTGTGTTAGTCTATAGTGTACGAGCTCACATGTGTGACGCATTAGAGATCAGCCGCAGAAAATCTGTGCAGGGGCCCAGACGGCCCCACTTCAAGAACAGCAATCTGGAGAACACAGAGTCTTTAATGAACGCCATGACATCACTTTCGAAATGAGCAGGACAAGATCAGACGGAGGGGAAAATGGTTTAAATCTGCAGATTAGTTGCTGAAGTTCTCAACCTTTTAAAGTCCATTTACACCAACTCTGACTTTTTAGCACAAAAAACTTGCAGATTAAAAGTTCAAAGTCGTTATTGGTTCTTCGGCGCGGTATTTTGATCTCTGGGTTTTTCCGCTAGCTGGATGCTTGGCACTTTTTTATTGCCTTTTTCCCCCCCATCACATATTTTAGTAATTATAAATTAGTTATCATTCAATAGCTTAAACACTCAAAATTCACCCAGTGAAAGTCGATTTCGGACATTATGTTACCATGGAAATGGTCCTTAAAACCTTTCAGTGTGCTCCTCCCCCTTTGCTACAATATTTTATAATCAAAACTTTTGCTAATTTTGACAAAACTAATTTGGAAAGGTCTGAAGCCTCATGGTTCCATCTTTGGTAGTTATTTTGTAGTAGAACTAATATTGTGACATACATTTATAAATTTGTGACAGGAAAATGCATTTTTCAAAATTCACTGGAGTTTGGGTGTCACCTGGTGGCTATTTTTGGTATAGCACCAACAAAATCTCACAGGAACCTACATTTTTTTAATATCAACTTCAAATTTGGAACATAACTTAGTTAAGACATATGGCTTTAATTTTAGGTTTCAAAATATTTTGTAAAATATTTATTTTATATTAAAAAAAAAATACAAGTACAAGTACAAGTACACATTTCTTTACAGTAAATTTAAACTTCTGTAACATTTTTACACTTTCAGTTTTTGAAATGCTTTTCTATTTTGTGACATAATTGTTGCCTATTTTTAAGTGTGATACAGGCTGGAGTCGCTTTCATTTCTTGTAGCTTCATCTTCATCCACTAGACGGCATCCAAACATGGGTTTCAGTTGGCGTTAGGATTGATATCACACTAAAATCATCCAGCAGGCATTTTCTCGGAGGACTCACAATAACAGAATCATTTCGGTTATAATCGAAAAGTAGCTGCTGGATGATGTAGATGCTTTAATGTGGCTTTTGACATATCTGGAGTGTTTTTAGCTGCAAAATATCTGTCCTCTGAGGTTTCGATGACACATTTTGATGTAGTGACTGTTACAGCAGATCTATGTACTGCTGGCCGTCGCTCGGCTCTTCCAGGAAAATATGGATAGCCTCATCAATCCCAGCGTGCCCTTGGTGTCTTTCCTGAAGAACATCTGTGATGTCTGGCATGCTTTCAGAAAGCTTGTTTTTTTATTTCTCAGTTCTCTAGAATCCCCTCATAGTTTCTTATATAATATGTCCATGTTCTCGGTCTCAGATGTTTAGAGATATAAATGAACATGGACAGCAGCTCAGGTCATTTAATCTTAGAGGAGTTTGATGAGAAATTCGTTTTTGATTGCAGATTTTGGCATTTTTGCAAATCTGAGCATTTTTTATCTCTCTTGTAACTCTAGAGGAGACGTGAGATTGCTGGTGTGTTTTCACACACACACACACACACACACACACACATATATATATATATATATATACTAAAAATTATATTTCTTTTCTTCTGTATGTTTAAATTTAAATGTTATTTTCCCTGCTAGAATATATAAGTATTTTCCAAAATTCATATATAAATTTAAATTTTATTTTCCCCCTGCTATTTATTTTGCTATTTTTTGTAGACTGTAAAGTCTATCTATCCGTTTGAAACAAATTAATACTTTTATTCATCAAGGATGCATTAAATTGATCAAAAGTGACAGTAAATACATTTATAATTATACAAAAGATTTCTATTTCAAATAAATGCTGTTCTTTTGAACTTTCTGTTCATCAAAAAATCCTATAAAAAATATATCAGAGTTTCCACATAAATATGAAGCAGCAACAACTGTTTTCAACATTGATAATAATAATAATAAGTTATTAGAATGTGACACTGAAGACTTGTGTAATGGCTGCTGAAAATTCAGCTATGCATCACAGAAATAAATTATATTTTACAATAAACATTTATTTTAAATTGTAATAATATTTTTTAAAAATGTACTGTATTTTTAATCAAATAAATGCAGCCTTGGTGAGCAGAAGAGACATCAAAAACATAAAAAAATGTACAGACCTCAAAATTTTAAACTATAATGTATATTACTAATTCATCTTGAGCAATTTATTAACACTTAAAGTCATTATTTTGCCTTCAAACCTTACAATAATTTTCTTTGTTTTGGAAATTGAAAATAGAGAACGATCTGTGTGAAACATTGACATGGAAAAGTTTGTAGGAGCTGAAGCTCAGACGAGCCAAAGATATCTGATGTAATGATTGTTCTGTGACAAATGATCTGTCAGAGGAACGTCGAACCCTTCGGAAAGTTCCCCAGGGCTGATGGTGCATGCTGGGAATCGTCCCAAAAACCCACTTGTACTGTACCAACTTACATGGAAACGATGGAAAATCCTGTACAGGAGTGTGACTTTCCACGTCTGTGATGATTAATGAGTGCTGGGAGTGTGAATGCACATTGAGTTCATTGTGTTTAGTGCGGCGCTGGAAACAGAGCTTTATTTCATCCGTACTGTCATAATTCATCGATTTGTTAACAACAAGATGGACGTGAGCAGTTTAGCACGTTAGTAAGTGTCCCGCTGTGGAATCATTACAGATCATTATAGTCAGTGTGTGAAGATGCAGGACAGTCTTAAAGAGACAGTTCACCTGGAAATGAGAATTCAGTCATCATTTACTCACCCTCATGTATTATTTACTTTCTATCTTTCAATTCATTCACTCTCAAAAAATGCCAAAATACCATAAAAGCATCCAGACATTCATCCGTCTGACTTATATTTTTAAAGTCCTCAGAAGTCATATGATGCAAATCTCAATTGCACTTGTATTTAATTACAAAATGTCATCTTTAGATGTGTCGTTACTTGTTTGATGTCATTGGTTCACATTGCAGTTTAAAAAACATGAATTGATAGCTATGAGAGGTCTTAAAAGCTCAGTATGGTCAATAAGTAAAGTGTGTGTGTGTGTTTATGTGTGAGTGTGTGTGTGTGTTTGTGTGTGTGAGAGAGTGAGTGAGTGAGAGAGAGAGTGTGTGTGTGTGTGTGTGTGTGTGTGTTTAACCAGCTCTTGTTCTCTGTGTTGTTCAGGGTCCGGCGGGACTGATTGGAATAACCGGAGTGATCGGACAACCTGGAGAAAAGGTAAAAACCGAGTCTGTATCTTAAACCACACAAGCGTCATGATCAACAGAAAATCTCTTTATGAAACATGACGGTGTACAGTGAAACCTGATTTTAGATTGAAATCAATCTGAAAACGTGATTGTTTTTGTGTTTGAATTGTGTGTGTTCAGGGCGATCGAGGTCCTCCTGGTCCTTTGGGTCCTCCAGGAGAGAAAGGTTCAACAGTAAGAGCTTATTTCACATTAACAAACATATATTAAAATGCATTGCACTGCAAAAAAAGATCTTCTTACTCAGTATTTTTGTCTTGTTTTCCAGTAAAAATATCTAAACATATTATTCTGAAA